AAAAAAAAAAAAAAAAAAAAAAAAAAAAAGTTCTAACCGGAAAGGGAACACATCTAACACCAATACCAAGAACTCCGTGGATTCTCCACCAGAGCCCCCTGTTTTCTGTACCAGATGTGGGGAGCTGGGAGGACATTCCTAGTCTGCTGGCATCCTCTTCCTCACCTGTCCCCGTGACCCCAAGGCTGGAGAGCCGAGCCGAGCACGGAATACCTGGGAAAACACAATGACTTTGCCGGTGTCTTCGTTCACCGTCTGGATGGTGCCGTGGACGACAGCCGTGCCAACCGTGCTCCCTGTAACCTGGCCCCTCCTGTTGACAGTGGCCACAGTCTGGTTGCTGATGGAGAAGTGGATGATAGACTGGGGCTGGGGGCCACCTTCAGACATGATCTGCGGTTTAAACACACCCGGGAGCGCCTCCAATGTGGGGAAGGAGTCACATCTCTTTTCCCAACATTTTTTTTTTTCAAGCAACTTGACTTCTTCCTCCATTTCCTGGACAGCACACACCACATCAACTCAAATGTGTGTCGAAGAATTGTGTGCTGCAAATGACCCACAGGACTCCAAGAGTGTGGATGCCTCATGCCTCATGGATCAGAGAACTTTCTTCTTCATTAGCCCCAGCTGTTCTGGGTACAGGAGAGGACAGGAGGTGTGTATGCACGGAAAAGAGAAAGAGCAAATCATGTTTTCTGCTTTAAAAGTACCTATGTTGGGGTCTGGAGAGATGGCTCAGTGGTTAAGAGCACTGGCTGCCTTTCCAGAGGACCAGGTTCAGTTCTCAGCACCAACATGGCAGGCAGCTCACAACCCTCTAACTCCAGTTCCAGGGGACCTGACGCCCCCTTCTGGCATCCTTGAGTATGGTATGTGGTGCACATACATAGACTCAGGCCAAACACTCATACATATAAAATAAACTAAATCTCAGCCAGGCAGTGGTGGCGCACGCCTTTAATCCCAGCACTTGGGAGTTAGAGGCAGGTGGATCTCTATGAGTTTGAGGCCAGCCTGGTCTACAGAGCTAGTTCTAGGACAGCCAGGGCTACACAGAGAAACCCTGTCTTGAAAAACAAAAACAAAAACAAACAAATCTCAACATGAAAAAATCATCTATATCATTGATATAGATTGATATCGATTACCAGCATACACCTGTAAGTAATCCTAGGACTTGAAAGATCGAGGCTGGAGGGTGGTCAGGAGTTCAAGGCCAGCCTGGGCTACATAGCAAGTCCCTGTCTCAAGAAACCCCAAACTAAGGGCCAGGCGGTGGTGGCGCACACCTTTAATCCCAGCACTCGGGAGGCAGAGCCAGGCGGATCTCTGTGAGTTCGAGGCCAGCCTGGGCTACCGAGTGAGTTCCAGGAAAGGCGCAAAGCTACACAAAGAAACCCTGTCTCGGAAAAAAAAAAAAAAAAAAAAAAAAGAAAGAAACCCCAAACTAAAATCCCAAACAACCCATAAGAAAGATCACCTGTATCATGTTGGTTGCAATCAGTGTCATTTTCTCAGGAACCAGTCTGAATGGAGGAAATACCTGGAGAGGACACAAAAGGACAACAGGGCCTGCTGTTTGTAACCTGAACTAAGGAAAGCCACTGTCCACATACAGGTAACACAGACATACGCACGGTGGTCTGACTGTACTAGCCAACAATTCAATAGCGTCTAAGCAGCTTACTCTGCCTACCCATTAAGACTATATTTATAAGGTAAAGGCACTTGTCACCAAGCCCAACAACCTGAGTTCGATTCCTCTGACCTCCACATACTGGCTATGGCATTAGTGCCCCTCACACACAAAATAAATGAAGTAAATGTAAAAACATTAAGAGTATACTTATAATATTTGAACATAAACTAGAGAAAACAATACCGCTCGGTCTCGGGTGTATACTGCCCCGCTTCAAAAATGTAAAGATAAGAGGGCTGAGAGATGGCTCAGTGGTTAAGAGCACTGGCTGCTCTTCCAGAGGACCTGAGTTCAAATCCCAGCACCCACATGACAGCTCACAACTGTCTGCAGCTCCAGAGGATCTGACACCCTCACACAGATGTACATGCAGGCAAAACACAAGAATGTTCATGAAATAAAAATAAATAAATAAATAATGTGAAAGTACAGCTGAAAACCATCTTATTATTATTTTTTTTTTCATGCTGGGTATAGAACCTGGGGTCTTACAGATGCTAGGTAAGCACTTTACCACTAAGCTACAACTTTAGCCCCATCTTTCTTTCTTTTTCCGTTTTTTTGAGACAGCCTTTTTCTGTGCAGCTTTGGAGCCTGTCCTGGAACTCACTCTGTAGCCCAGGCTGGCCTCGAACTCACAGAGATCCCCTGCCTCTGCCTCCCGGGTGCTGGGATTAAAGGTGTGCGCCACCACCGCCGCCACTGCTGATGGCGCCGCCACCAGGCTATTCCTGGCTTTTTATGTGGGTACAGGGGTTACACTTGGGTCCCCATGCTGTGCTGCAATCGTTTTACTGTCTCAGCCTTCTTCTCAGGCCTGAGAAATAACATTTTATAAAAGACTAAGATGAGAAGCTTGGATAGGGCCAGGGCTGTAGGTCAGTTGGTAGAGTGCTTGCCTAGCATGCAGGAAGCCCTGGGTTCAGTCCCTCATACCATACAAAATGGGACTTGGGTAACAGATGCCTGTAATCTCAGCACTCAGGATAATGTGTTCAAAGCCAGCCTAGAATTCATGAGACACTATCTCAAAAATAAACAAGAAGAAAAAAAGGTAGTATTACTTATTTATGTTAAAACATTCAAAGAGGCCAGGCATGATTATGCTTGTCTTTAATCCCAGGAGTTGGAAGGCAGAAGTAGGTTGATCTCTCTGGGTTCAAGGCCAACCTAGTTTACATAGTGAGTTTCAGGCCAGTCTGGGTTACAGAGTGAGACCCTATCATAACAAATATCCATCTGGGAAGAGCTGGGAATGTTGTTACACACCTATATTGTGTACTCAGAAGCCCAAGGCAGGAGAATCACTGAGCTAAGGAATGTGATGCCAAGAGAGAGACAGAAAGGGAGAACCTAGAGAGATAGCTCAGTGGTTAAGAACATTGGCTATAATTGTCGCCAGAGAGGCTTCTTCTGGCAGCTGATGGCAGCAGATGCAGAGACCCACAGCCAAACAATGGGCGGAAAGAGGCCAAATGGGAGACCTCCATCAGGTCTCCTCCTTTTGTAGCTTGGGGAACACCACAGAAGAGGGGGAAGAAGGAGCCAGAGGGGTCAAGGACACCAGGGGACACAGTCCACAGAATCAACTGAGCAGGGCTCATAGGGGCCCACAGGGCCTGCATGGGTCTGTGCTAGGTCCTCTGCATACATGTTACGGTTGTTTAGCTTGGTGTTTTTGTGGGACTCCTAACAGTGGGACTGGGTGTGTCTCTGACTCTTTTACCTCCTCTTGGGACCCTTTTCTTCCAACTGGGTTGCCTTGTCCTGCCTTGAGATGAGGTTTGTACCTAGGTTTCTTATATCTTGTTATGTCATGTTCGGTTGATATCCCTAGGAGGCCTGCTCTTTCTGCAGGGAAACAGAGAAAGAGTGGGTCTTGTGGTGGGTGCTGGCAGCTGTGGAGGGAGAGGAAACTGCAGTTGGGATGTATTATAAGAGAAGAATTAAAGAAAAAAAAAAAAAAAAAAAAGAGGTCAGCCTGATCTACAGAGAGAGTTCCAGGACAGGCTCCAAAGCTACAGAGAGAAACCCTGTCTCGAAAAAAACAAAAACAAAAACAAAAAAAGAAAGAAAAAAGAGCATTGGCTGGGTTTGTGGTGGCTCATAATCATGTAACTCTAGTGCCTGTGGATCTGACACTGTCTTCTGGCCTAATTTCTGTACTTTCTGCATGGTACACAGACATACACACAGGCAAAACACACACAGGATTTTTAAAAAAGGAAAAAAGTTGAGAGAAAGTGAATACAAGAAAAAAGGGAAGAAAACATACTTTAAAAAAAATTTTTAAAGACGTTTATTTTATGTATATGGTGCTCTGCATGTACACCTGAATGCCAGAGAGGATATCAGATCCCATTACAGACGGCTGTGAGCCACCATGTAGGTGCTGGGAATTGAACTCAGGTCCTCTGGAAGAGCAGCCAGGGCTCTTAACCTCTGAGCCATCTCTCCAGTTCCAGAAAACATACTTTTGTTTGTTTGCTTTTTGAGGCAGGGTCTCTTTGTGAAGCACTTGGGGGGGGGGGTCTTAAACTCTCTAGATAGACCAGGCTGGTCTCAAACTTGCTGCAATCCTCCTGTCCTGGAACTTGCTATATAGTCCAGCCTAGCCTCAAACTCATAGAGATCCACCTCCTTCTGCCTCCCCAGTGCTAGGACTAAAGATGTGTGCTACCACACCTGGCTGTGTGTGTGTGTGTGTGTGTGTGTGTGTGTGTGTGTGTGTGTGTATGCATGTCATATTTGTGGAAGTCAGGGAACAACTTTCAGGATTCAATTCTCTTCTTCTACTGCGCGTTCCAGGGACTGAACTCAAGTGATAATGAGGTCTTCATATCAGGGACTTCTACAGCTGAGCGGTCTCAACAGCCCATATATATATATACATATACATACATACATACATACATACATACATGCATACATACATATATATATACATACACATACATACATACATGCATACATACATATATATATATACATACACATAACGCATTATATATGGTGTTATGTTGCATCCACCTTACCCCAACATTCCTAAATCTTTCAACTTTTTTGTGCTTTCTAAATTTTCTACAAGAACTGTATCCCATATATTTATTTAGTCTTGGGGGAAAGAAAACAGTTCATTGCGAACAGGAAAATCCCAAACTAAACATGTGTGAACAGAAAGGGATAAACGATGTTAGGTGAGGAAGTGCATCCGGATGCCAGCGCTTACTCACCTCGATGTGCCGAGGTGCCGATGTGAATTTTCTCCCCATCCTGTCTGTGGCAACGGCTACCAGCGTGGTTTGTCCAATAGTGACAGCACGGAGCATGTAGTTTTCAGAGTACTCATCCTGATCCTCCATTAACCTGGAACGATCCGTGTGGTGTTGGTGGGAAAGAGCTGGTACTTTTGTTTGTTTGGTTGGTTTTTTGAGACAGAGTTTATCTCTTTAGGCCTGGCTGTCCTGGTCCTGGAACTCACAGAGATCTCCTACCTTTTCCTCCCAATGCTGGGGTTAAGTCATGAACCACTAAGCCCTGTTAAGATCTGGTTTTGAGAAGGGCCAGTAATTCATCTTTCTAAGATGCTTAGTATATTCTAATTCTGGCTACAGGGACCTTCTAGAAAATGAATCTCCAGAATCAAGACTAATTTCCTGCAATAACAAGATGCTCCTTGAGAGCAAAACCTTTTTTTTTTTTTTTAAGATTTATTTATTTATTATGTATACAGTGTTCTGCCTGCAGGCCAGAGAAGAGGGCACTAGATCTCATCTCTTAGAGATGACATGGTTGTGAGTCATCATGTGGTTGCTGGGAATTGAACTCGGGACCTCTGGAAAAACAGCCAGTGCTCTTAACCTCTGAGCCATCTCTCTAGTCCCGCAAAACTTTTTTAAGGCTGAAAAAAGGAGTAAGTGTGATAAAAACAGAGTGGTGGAATTGTGAATACCAAATTTCCTAGCATTTTTTTCTTTGTATTTTGAGACAGAGTCTCATATGACTGAGGCTGGCCTTGAACTCATAATCCTGTCTTTATCTCCCAAGTGCTGGGGTAATAGGTGTAAGCTACTGTGCTCAGGGAATTCTTGTGTGACTTCTTTTTCAAAGGAGAGGACCAAGGACGTTTGTTGGCCAACATAAGAGAGTTTTAGAAAATTTTTAAAAAATGATATATTTTAGTGCTCAAACAAGCCATTTAGGGCTCTTGACTTTTTAAATTTTAATATTTAATTTTATGATTTTATTTTATGTATATGAGTTTTCTGCTTGTGTGCATGTCTGTGTACCACTTGTGTGTCTGGTGTCCAAGAAGGCCAGAAGAAGGTGTTGGATGCCCTAGAACTGGACTTACAGATGGCTGTGAGCCACCATGTAGGTGCTGGGAATCAAACCCAGGTCCTCTGGAAGAGTAACCAGTGCTTTAACGGCTAAGCAATCTCTCCAGTTCCATTATTTTTGTTTTGTGAGTGAGTCCTATGTAGTGTAGGCTGGCCTCAAACCTGTGATCTTTGTGTCTCAGCTTTCTGAATGCGGGGTTACAGGCATGTACCACAGCACCCAGCTTGAATGAATACAGACTCAGACTGTGGGAAGAGAGTATGGACTGAGTAAGCTACACAAAGGGCAGAAGGAAATCGGACTAAACTCAGGGAGGCTGACTAGGTCACCAGGAAGGAGACTGTCGGTACACCAGCTCAGGAGAAGAGAGGTACTGGGTGGCCCTTACCTCAGGGTGACAATGGCAGACGCCAGCTGTAGTTTGACGTCCATGTTTCTGAAGTACTTGTTGCGGAAAGGGTACTTGGAAGAGCCAAGAATCCTCACAGCCACTAACACAGTTTTGCCAATCTCAACCTAGCCATTGAGAAAAAGCAGCATGAAGCATATGCATTCCATCGAGCAAGGACAGACTAAGTTTCTGAGGGGGCAGAAATTCCTGTGCATCCCGATGTTCCTGGTAGGCTTCTGATCAATGGTCCTTGACCCCCACCAACCACCCCTCATTGGATTCATTCATACCTTTCTTTCTTTCAAATTCCATTTATTCGTGTGTGTGTGTGTGTGTGTGTGTGTGTGTGTGTGTGTGTGTGTACATACCATAATGTGCTAGGGAGGTCAGGGGACAACTTGCAGGAGTTAGTCCTCTCCTACCACCGTGTGGGTCCTGGGATTGAGTGAGGTCCTCAGGCTCGGCAGTAGGCAGCCTTACCCAGTGAGCCATCCAGCTGTCTATCTTTGTCTCCGTCTCTCCTCTTCGCCCCTCTCCCACTGTGTGGCCCAGGCTGGCCTGAAGCTCATTATGTAGAAATGGTCAGCTTTGGACTCACAGAAATCTGCCTGATTCTGCCTCCTGAGTGCTGGGGTTACTCTTTTTTTTAAAAAGAAAATTTAAGTCATCGGGGTGGTGGTGGCTCATGCCCTTAATCCCAGCACTCGGGATGTAGAAGCAGGTGGATCTCTGTGAGTTCAAGGCCAGCCTGGGGTATAGAGTGTGACTCTGTATCAACAAACAAACAATAAGACAACCCAGCCTCCTAAAAAAAATACCTATTTCATTTATCTTGATTTTCATCATGTTTAATTTTGGAACGGTGTTTTTTGTTTGGTTTGGTTTGGTTTTTGTGCAGTGATAGGTCGTTGATTGTAAAGAGTAGACTCCTGAGAAGTGAGAGCAGACAATGGCCAAAGTGACCATTGAGAATGTGCTCTTTGCTTTTCAGTTTGTTTGTTTTTTGAGACAGGGTTTCTCTGTGTAGCTTTGGAGCCTGTCCTGGAACTCACTCTGTAGACCAGGTTATCCTCGAACTCACAGAGATCCACCTGCCTCTGCCTCCCAAGTGCTGGGATTAAAGTCGTGTGCCACTACCACCCAGCAAGAATGGTACTCTATTTATTTTTTTAACATTTAATTCTTCTTTTTTTTTTTTTAGATTTATTTATTATGTATACAGTGTTCTGCCTACATGTGTCCTAGCAGGCCAGAAGACAGCACCAGATTTCATTATGGGTGGTTGTGAACCACCATGTGGTTGCTGGGAATTGAACTCAGGACCTCTAGAAGAGCAGTCAGTGCTCTTAACCTCTGAGCCATCTCTCCAGCCCAAGAATGGTGGTCTTTAAAGGCTGGCGTTTCCTTTTTTAGTCTAAGGTCTTGTAAGAACTGTAGTTGAGGAGAGCCTGTTAAATGTGCTGGGGGAGTGAATAAGTTTGCATCATTCCCGACTTAAATCTATTCTCACCTTGTCAATCAAATCCAGCTCCACTTCCTGTATGTCTGATACCCTGAGCCTGGCCATGGCTGGATCCAGGGAAGCCAAGCACAGGTCATACACTTCCAAGGTTAGGAATCCAGGATGTACTGGAACTACCTAGAAGAAGATGGTGTTCGGTGAGAGGCAAACACTACAGACCTAAGCAGAGGTTAAGGGGCTTGAGTTATACAAACTCTAACACACACCTCCAGCTTCTTAGTCATCAGCAGGGAACAGATTCCACAGAGAAAATCAAATATGAATGTGCTATGACTGCAGGGGGTGGTGGTGAAAACGGATGGACATCTGGCTTCTGTCTTTGTACCTGAGGACCCCAGTTCGATTCCCCCACCCTTATGGCATGGTTCACAGCCGCTTGCAATTCAAACTCCAGGGGACCAGATGCCTTTCTCTGGCCCTGGTGGCCACTTGCACTCATGTGTATAAACCCACACATTGACACATGTATACACACATAATTTAAAAACTAGTAAAATAAAACATTTTATTAAAAACAAATAAGGCCGGGCGGTGGTGGCGCACGCCTTTAATCCCAGCACTCAGGAGACAGAGGCAGGGGGATCTCTGAATTTGAGGCCAGTCTGGTCTACAAAGTGAGTTCTAGGACAGCCAGGATTGTTAGACAGAGAAACCTTGTCTTGAAAAATGAAAAACAAAACAACAACAATAAAAAAAGATTGTTTCCTGTAATCAAACTGGCTTCATTCCAGAGACGCAGGGCTGGTTCCATGTACAAAAGTTAATAAATGTCATATAGAATCTACATAGACTCAGGACAGAGATCACATGATTATTTCAGTAGATGTAGAAAACACATTTGACAAAACCCAAAATTCCTTCATGATAATAGCAATGATGTAAATTATATTGATAAATTGTCATGTGACGTATAAGCTTCAGAGGCCAGAGGATCCCTGGAACTGGAGTTACAGACAGTTCTGAGCCAACATGTGGATGTTGGGGATCGAACCCAGGTCCTCTGAAAGAGCAGCTAGTGCTCTTAGCCACTTAGCCATCTCTCTTGTTGTGGAATACTAGTTTAACTATGTAAAGATGTGCTGCATTTATTTATGCTGCGTTTGTTTAATTATGTAAAGTGTGTTGCTGTTTCACCTTGCCTGCCCAAGGCACTTGATTGGTCTAATAAAAAGCTGGGTGGCCAATAACTAGGCAGAGGATGTATAGACTGGTGGGCAGAGAGAAAATGGGAACCACCCAGCCAGCCAGGGGCCTGCCAATCAGACACGGAGGAAACAGGAAAGCAGGATGGACAATATGTAGATGAGGTATACAAGCCTTGGGGCAGCACATAGATTAATAGAAATGGGTTAATTTAAGTTAAAAAGCTAGCTAAGAAAAAGCCTAAGCTTAGGCTGAGCATTCATAATTAATAATAAGTTTCCATGTCATGTTTTGGGGGTTGGTAGTCCAAGAAAGCCTCTACACTCTCTAGCCAGAAAGATAGGAATCTCAAAAGGGGGATAATGCCCGAGTTTCTAAGGAACATGCATTTTGCTAAGAAGCACACGAAGGTCCTGAAGAAGATGCAGGCAAAGAATGTGAAGGCGTGAGAGAAGGTACTAAGGCACCCAGGTTCTTGTCGAGCCTAAAGAGGGCAAGTCCCAAATGCTGAAGGGTCCCAACTACAAGCTCAGTCCAGTCCAATGACTTCATTGCAAAAATGGAAAATGGGATTCACGGTTACACGGCCAGGCATTCAAGACTCTGCCAACCAAAGCCAAGGACCAAACCAAGGCTGAGAAACCTCCTTCTGCTCCAGTTCAGGCTCCCAAATATTTCCAGGCCCCTGTGAAGACCCTAAGTCCCTGTATAAACCCCAAAGTAAAGGCCTCTGTCTGCCAATGTGAAGACTGATGGACTGACATGAACACCCCTCACTGTTCACAGGTAGCTGATGTGATCCTCAACCCACCCACAGGCACACAGTTTCCATGTGGCTCATGTCCTGTATTGTTTTCACAAATAAACTTGAGACAAGATCTGTTAGAAATAAACAAACAAACAAAAAAAAAAAAACCTCAGAATATATCTAGCTAAGGAAGTTAAAGACTGTTGTGGGATAATCTTTTTGTGCACTGTGAAGATGTGTCACTTCCAAGGTACCTTCTGATTGGTTTAATAAAGAGCTAAACAGCCAATAGCTAGGCTGGAGAGAATAGGTGGGACTTCCAGGAAGAGATAGGAACTCTGGGAAAAAGAGAGGTGGGTTTTGCCAGGGAGACATGGAGCAATTCAGATACACAGTATGGAAGAGAGGTAATAAGCCACGTGGCAGAACATAGATGAATATAAATGGGTTAATTTAACTTAAAAGAGCTAGTTGGGAACAAGCCTAAGCTAAGACCAAGCTTTCATAATTAATAAGAAGTCTCTGGGGTTGGAGAGATGGCTCAGAGATTAAGAGCATTGACTGCTCTTCCAGAGGTCCTGAGTTCAATTCCCAGCAACCACATGGTGGCTCACAACCATCTATAATGAGATCTGGTGCCCTCTTCTGGCATGCAGGCAAACGTGCAAAAAAAAAAAAATCTTAAAAAAAAAAAAGAAGTCTCCATGTCATTATTTGGGAGCTGGCAGTCCAAAGAAAGACCAGCTACAAAAGACCTCTGTAATGAGAACTTTAAAACACTGTAAAGATCCAGGCATAGTAGTTCATACCTTAATCTCAGCACTCAGCAGGCAGAGGTAGGCCAACCTCTGTGAGTTCAAGACTAGCCAGGTCTATACAGCAAGTTCCAGGCTACCCAGGGCTACACAGTGAGACCCTGTCTCAAAATAAAAATAAAAACCAAACAAACCTAAAAATGGACCTACTATATGACTCAGCTATAACACCCCTGGGTATTTACCCAAAGAACTCCAGGTCCCTGTCACAGACATTTGTGTGTCCATGTTTACAGCAGCACAGTTCACAGTAGCTGAGTTATGGAACCAGCCTTGGTACTGAGCAATAGAGGAATAAAGAGAATGTGGTGTGTGTACACTGTGGAATTTTTCAGCCACAATGAAGAACCAAGTCTTGTCATTTGCATTAAAATGGATACAAATGGAGACCTTCACATTAAGTGAGTCTCAGAAAGAGAAATACTGCACGTTTCCTCTCACTTGTGAGTCCTGGATTGTGTGTAGATGCATAGAACCATACATGTACACAAAACTGTCTCAGAGGCAAAGTAGACCACAGGAGGGGGCTAGGAAGGGCCTCCATCATACACTTGCACTGAAATGGCCATATGTAAACCATATACTCCATACAATGGAGAGAAAGAGGGTTTGGGGTTGGACATGGTGGGAGGCGCCAGAGTCACACGGATCAGGAGTTTAAGGTCAGCCTTGGTTTCATAATACCTTCCATGCCATCCTGGGCTTTTTGAGACCCTGTCTCAAAAAAACTAGGGCCGAAAAGACATGGAGGTGCTGGTTGCCAAGGCTGATAGTCTGTGCCTGACTCCTACAGGGTGTCCTCCAACCTCCACACAATGGACTGTAGTCCATCCACACATACACACACACACACACACACACACACACACACACACGCACTAATATGATAAAAAGTTCAAAAAACCAAACCAAGACCAAAAAAGTGAACAAACACAAAAAAGCGCTTTGACCTGAGACCTTCAGTCTGGAGACCTCACCAACCCACCTGGACGGAGCTTTCTGCTTCCATGTATGTGATGGTGACCATATCTTGCTCACTGCTGTTGACTAGAAAGTAGCCAGACCCTTCCACAAGGTGAAATATTTCCTACAGAAAAATCAGACAAACAATGCTCCATTCTTTTTGGTTTATAGCCTGAAGAAGATGACTTCTACCTAACAAAAGAGGAGTGTACAGCCAAAAGGACGCTGCAGCTCATCCTTCATGTTGTGCGTGCGTGCGTGCGTGCGTGCGTGCGTGCGTGCGTGCGTGTGTGTGTGTGTGTGTGTGTGTGTGTATGTGTGTGTGTGTGTATGTGTGTGTTTAAAATAATTTCTTTAAATTTATTTTATGTGCATTGGTGTGAAGGTATCAGATCCCCTAGAACTGGAGTTACAGACAGCTGTGAGCTGCCATGTGGGTGCTGGGAATTGAACCCGGGGTCCTCTGGATGAGCAGCCAGTGCCCTTAACCGCTGAGCCGTCTCTCCAGCCCAATATGTGTGTTTGATTTTTAACAGCAGTGAAGTCTCTTGCTGCCTCACCACAGGAGACCCCTCCCTCTTTGGCCTGTGTACCTCACCTTCACGTCAGGATGGCTATAGATGGTGGCATTATCAGGCTGTACTGTGACGTCCTCTACTAGGAGCAACTCCACGACTGCAGATCTTGGCGAGTTGGAAATTTCCTAACCAGGAAGTGAGCACAGAGGACAGCAGAGACTGATCCGTGGAGAAAATCCCAGCTAATGACTTCTAGAGAGGAGCTTTAAATTTGAGTTAATTCTATTTCTTCCCCTTTTCTCCCTTTCCTTCCTCCCCTTCTTTTATTTATTTATTACTGTTGTTATTATTATTGTTGTTTGTTGTTGTTTTTGAGACAGGGTTTCTCTGTGTAACAGCTCTGGCTGTCCTGGAACTCACTCTGTAGACCAGGCTGGCCTCGAGCTCACAGAAATCCGCCTGCCTCTCGAGTGCTGGGATTAAAGGCGTGCGCCACTGCTGTCCCACTCTTATTTTTATTAGTTCTTTGGGAATTTCATACAGCATATTTTGTTCATATCCAACCCCCCAACTCTTCCTAGACCCCCTTTCCCTGCCCATCCACCTGTGTGGTCTCTCCCTCTCTCTTTTTTTTCTTTTTTATTTAGGTTTTTCGAGACAGGGTTTCTCTGTGTAGCTTTGTGCCTTTCCTGGATCTCACGCTGTAGACCAGGCTGGCCTCGAACTCACAGAGATCCCCCTTCCTCTGCCTCCCGAGTGCTGGGATTAAAGGCGTGCGCCACCACCGCCCGGCTCTCCCTCTCTTTTTAAACCACTGAGTTTGGGGATAGGGTCTCACCGAGTAGCCCAGGCTAGGATGGTAGGCGTGCGCTGCCAGGCCCTAATCTAGACTACTTCCGTCGTTTTTCCCACTCACCTCCGTGCTTTTCTTCCCTGAATAGCCCACGAAGCTGACCGCGATTAGCACCGTCCCCTTCATCTGATGCACTTTAAGGGTCTGATGGCCTAAAGCGGGGAAACACTGTGAGAAACAGGAAGAGCTCTGCAAAGCTGGCTCCAGAAAACTGAAGTCCGCCTCCGTGTTTTCCAAATGGCGTTTTTTTGTGGAGAGAAAATGCTGAAGGAGGAAGTACACACAGAGAATCCTGGGTTTGCACTGACCTTGTCATAGTCTCCGAGCAAAAAGCTCACCTCCTACGTCCTTTATTAATGAGAAATTGGGCCTGGCAAAACCTAAAATTCTTTCCTGTAATGGCCTATAATTCCAAAAATGGGCAGAAAGCAAATGCATGGGGACATTTTTGTATATAAATTTTCAGTTTTGTATATAAAATTTCAATGAGTCAGTTGTCACAATGAGTCAGTCTTTTGGGGCCTTTTCTCAGCTTCACTTATCTTTATATACATGACAGTCAGGCACTCCAAAGATTTAAATGGTGCATTATTATTATTTTAAATTTAAAATGTGTGTGCATGTGGTGGTGGGGACCTGTGTATTAGCACCTATGTGGGGCTCAGTTACCTCTTCCCAACACACTGGGCTTGGGGATTGAACTCAGGTCATCATCAAGCACCTTTACCTGCTAAGCCAGTTTACCTCTTTGTCTGTCTGTCTGTCTGTCTGTCTGTCTGTCTGTCTCTCCCTTTCTTTCACTTCTTTTTGAGACAGGGTCTCATTGCATAACCCTGGCTGGCCTCAAACTTGCAGATACCCACCTTCTTCTGCCTCCTGAGTGCTGGGTTAAAGACCTGTGGCCGGCCCTTTCTTTCTTTTCCTCCTTTTGAAACAAAGTCTCACATCCCGCTGGCTGGAACTGACCAGCTGTCCCAGGCCTCGGATTGCTCCTGCCTCTGCCTCCTGTCAGAGATTACAGGACATGCTACCACCCGAGGCTCAGAATGCTTACTTCAGACTGGGAGCAGAGAAGGACAGGGAATTCCCAGGCTCCCTGGAGACAGCATTTCGTTCAGTGATGAGGAAAATCTGAAAGAACATGGTGTATGTATATAAAGCTAGGGGCAGGAGAGATCCTGTCATGTTTAAAGACTGGAGTTCCTGGGAGCCATAGGGGCAGCTCAGTGTTGGAGTGCTTACTTAACACGTGAGGCAAGTGTTCTACCACTGAGCTCTGTCCACAGCTCCCTCAGATTAATTTTGTGTTTTATTTCATAGATTTTTTTTGTGGTTTGCTTGGTTTGTTTTTTCAAGACAGGGTTTCTCACTTTGTAGACCAGGCTGGCTTTGAACTCAGAGATCCTCTGCCTCCCGAGTACTGGGATTAAAGGCGTGCGCCACCACGCCTGGCTGTTTCATAGTTTTGTTCTTTTGAGTCAGGGTCTTGTGCAGCTAGAGCTTATCTTGAATTTGGTCTCTCGCTTTGACCCAGATGCTGGGATGGCAGGCGTGCTTATCACACCCTGTTTATGTGACTGACGCTGGAGAGCAAACCCAGGTTTTGTGCAGGTTAAGCGAGCAGTCGACCAACGGAGCCACATCCCTGCTCTCCACCCCGGATCTGTGTTCTAGGACAATCCCTCTGGACATCAGTGTGGAGTGTGAATTAGAGAGTGGCCGAGAGGACCACTATGTCAGGAAGTGATGAGCTCCTGGATAGAGGAAGAGGTGATGGACCTAGAGAAGACACTGGGCCGGTCGATAGATAACTACTGTACTCGTGGTGACTGGGGGGCATCACAAGCAGTAGCGCTTCTGCTGTCCTTGTCACACTGCTGTGCATTCTGCGCGTGGTAGGGTTGTGTTCCATGCTTTCTGTTCGGGTTGTTTTTACCCGTCTCTCCTGTGAACATCAAATCTGGGCCGGCCAGTGCATGCGAGGCTACAGCTCTTCTATTGAGCCGCCCAGGCTCCCAGGCAAGCTCAACCCACTCTAGGTGTCAGCTCCTCCCGGGCAGGGACTAGGTGGAGTCTCATTTCTCCTTCTCTAGAGTCCTGAGTTCCAGGGAATGGTTCTTCCGCTCCTGACATCGCTCATGCCGAGACCTCAAAGCTGCTCTTCACACCACGTTCATCCTCTCTTTGGGGTCTCCGTGGCGGGTTGTCCCATTAATGGCCCACAGCAAGCCCAGTCTGTTGTTATTCATAGCTGTGAAGTCCTTGCCCACCTTAACTCTGGCTTTGACCAGGTGACCTGCTTTAGTGATGTGACGTCGGTGTTGTGACATCGGCAAACACCATGAGAAGCTTGACAGTGTTTACGGATGAGGGCTGCCTGGCCTTCGAGCCTCATCCTGTGGTTCCTCTCTCAGTCTGGTCCCTCTTGCCTCTGCCAGCACATTTTACCGTTTCCTCTTCCATCGCCCCTTCTGGTTGGTGTAAACAGTCTCAGGGTAGCCTTCTTTGTTATAGACTAGGCTAGGTCACTCTGTCATAGGTCTTAAGTACCCCATATTTGCTCTTCCTTCTGATGTCATGAATGTTTCCTCAACCATGGTTGAGTGTGTGATGGAGGCAGCGTGTCTCCGTCCATGTTGTAGCTCAGTGCCTTGCAGAATGCCATAGCCATTCAGTAAATGCTGGTTAGTAAACAATTGTTCCTATGATGCCAGGAAAAAGAATAGGATCACCACTTTTTTTTTTTTTTTTTTTTTGTGTGTGTGTGTGTGTGTGTGTGTATGTGTGTGTGTAGTGTGGGCGGATGGTAAACAGGGCTTCATCAACAGCCCTTTCCAAAAATCATTCTCCTGGTTCAACCTCTGGAGTGCTATGGTGTAACAATTACATCTAGCTCAAGACATTTTAAAATTAATTAAAAAAAAAGATTTATTATTTATTATATAGACAGTGTTCTGACTGCACATCAGAAGAGGGCACCAGATCTCATTGCAGATAGTTGTCAGCCACCATGTGGGTGCTGCGGATTAAACTTAGGACCTCTGGAAGAGCAGCAAGTGCTCTTAACTTCTGAGCCATCTCTCCAGCTCCTAAAATTAATTTGTTTGTTGTTTTGAGACAGGGTCTCATGTAGTTCAAGCTGGTCTCAAACACAAGCATCATCTTGAACTTCTCAGCTTCCTGAGTGCTAACTCTTAAGTATTTGGATTACAGGTTTGAGCCACTACATCTGGCTTTTAATGCTTTTTAAATTGGTTAATTAAAAAAAAAATGAGACAGGGTCCCTCTTGCAGCTCTGGCTGTCCTGGAACTCACTCTGTAGCCCAGGCTGGCCTCAAACTCAGAGATCTGCCTGCCTCTGCCTCCTGAGTGCTGGGATTAAAGGTGTGCGCCACCACACCCAGCTTAAATGTTTTTTCTTACATTTATTTATTTTCTTTTTATTCTATGTGCATTGGTGTTTTGCCTGCATTTATGTCTGTGTGAGGACATTGGATCCCCTGGAAATGGAGTGACAGCCAGTTGTGACCTGCCATGTGGGTGCTGGGAACTGAACCTCGGTCCTCTGGAAGAACGGCTAGTGCCCTTAACTGCCAAGCCATCTCTGTTGTTTTCTATTTCTGCCCCTTTAGGGGGCCGCCACCCAGCTCCCAAATAAATTCACACACGGAGGCTTATTATTACCTATGAATGCCTGGCCTTAGCTTGGCTTAGTTTCTGGCCAGCTTTCCTTAACTTCCACCTTTTGCCTCTGGGCTCTTCCTGTTCTCTTACTTCTGTAAATCTTAGTCTTACTCCATTGCTGGTTGTGCAGCTGGGTGTCTGGTCCCTAGAGTCCTCCTCCTTCTCTGGCTGCTAGGTCTTTCTTTTCCCAGATTTCTCCCTCTATATAGTCTGCCTGTTAGTCCCTCCTATCCATTCCCCTGCCTTGCTATTGGCCAGTTCTTTATTAGACCATCAGGTGTTTTAGACAGGCACAGTAACAGCTTCACAGAGTTAAACAAATGCAACATAAACAAAAGTAACACACCTTAAAATAACATTCCACAACACACCTCTCCAGCCCCCATTTATTTATTTTTTTATTTTGTGTGTGTGTGCAGGTAAGTGATGGACCAGCCTGATTCCAACTTAAGATGAAAAGCCATCTTGCTACAAGGTCAAAATAAGTTCATTCTTATTTTCCAGGTCTTGATCCATTTTCTGGAATTTGACATGTTTCCCACCCTATACCCCGACCCCCACACTGATAAGATGTTCTGCCAAGTTCCTGTGTAATTAAAAACCCTTGGGTCCCCCTCCCGGTCCTGCAGTCCTGATCCATATAAGCTCCATGTTCTCCTGTGCTCAATGCTACTTTTTCAAAGCCCGCTTTAGAGAGACAGTCCTGTCTGACAGAAAATAAAGCTTGCTTAATTCGACTAAAAGAATTTGGGTAATAGTCTCTATTCTTTTTTTTTTTTTTTGGTTTTTCGAGACAGGGTTTCTCTGTGTAGCTTTGCACCTTTCCTGGGACTCACTTGGTAGCCCAGGCTGGCCTCGAACTCACACAGATCCACCTGGCTTTGCCTCCCAAATGCTGGGATTAAAGGCATGCGCCGCCACTGCCCGGCTTAGTCTCTCTTGTTGTTCGGTGGGATTTACAGTAAGAGGGCGACTTTAGGGAGCTGGTTTGCTCCTTTTCCCACATGGTCCCAGGGATTAACTCAGGTTGTCAGGCTTGAGTGCAAGGTTCTTTCCCCACAGAGCCTTCTCACTGGCCCCTTTCCTTCCTGTTAGTGGTTTGAGACATGGTCCTTACCCTGTAGCCCAAGCTGGCCTGAAACTCATGGCATTCCTCCTGCCACAGGCTCCCAAGTTATGGGATTCCACCTGTGAGTAACCAGGCCTGGATTTCTTTCTTTTCCTTCCCATCTGCCTTAGTTACTTTCTATCACCATGACCAAGAAAACGTATAAAAGAAAGCACTTAATCTGAGGCTCGTGGTTCCATGATCTCCACAGTGGGGAGCATGGCTGAAGGCAGGCAGGCTTGGTGCTGAAGCAGTAACTGAGAGCTTACATCTTGATCCACAAACATGAGCCAGAGAGAGCAAGCTAGGGATGGTATGGGCTTTTAAAACCTTAAGTCCTCCAGTGATACACCTCCAGCAAGGCCATGCTGCCCAATCCTTCTTGAATAGCCCACCAACTGGGGACTAAATAGTCAAATATATAAGCCTATGGGGTCCACATTCAAACCACCACACCATCTGTGTGGCACTATTCACCAGGATATATAAACAAACATCCACTCACTCCAGATACGGACCCGATAACAGACCACAAAGTATGATACCACCAACATCCACCTTAGTTAACCACTGAGTTTTATTGGGGTTTCTTACATAAATATTGACTAGGGGTTACTTACAGGAGCAGAAATCAATTGAAGACAGCTGTATATCACCAAAGCCCACCCCAGCATGGGTGACAGCTCACCAAAGTTGGAAACCTGGAGTGCACTGCCCAGCCTGCAGGCAGCGTCCCAGGCTGGGGAGTGTCCTTTCCCAGGAGCTCAGTTGGTCTGGGCCTCTTCTGGGCAGTTTGGCTTACCTCTGCTTCTCCCAGGCTGCTTGGTCTGAGCCTCTGCCAAGCAGCTTAGCTTGTCTGAAAGTCACCTTGAGCTGTCTTGACGGTTTACTCTTGGGGAGAGAGAGGCCTAGTGAACCTGGTCAGGTTTAGGAACTTCCTGAAGCTGTTCCGAATTGTTTACTTTCTGCCTTAAGCATGGGTTGTTTCACCTCCCTGGAAACATTCTGTCCTGAAGTTTCCCTTCCTTTTCTTTTCCATCTCCATCATCCCACTCTTATTTTTCCCTTCCTCCTTTCTTTCCTCTTTTTTTTTTTTTTTTTTAGATTTATTTATTTATTATGTATACAGAAGAGGGCACCAGATCTCATTACAGATAGTTGTGAGCCACCATGTGGTTGCTGGGAATTGAACTCAGGACCTCTGAAAGAGCAGTCAGTGCTCTTAACCTCTGAGCCATCTCTCCAGTCCCCTCCTCTTTTGTTTTTTGTTATACCATGATGACCTCAAAACTAGTGGTGTCATTGAGGATGATCTCAACTTCTTTCTTATTTATTTTTTTTTTTTACCTTACATGAGTGTGTTTGAAGTGCGGGGCATGCCGTGGTGCAGGATGGACCTTGATGACTCCCACCTCCCTGAAGGGTGGGTGCAGGCAGCTAGATGATGGCAAGAGGTGTTCACGTGAAGAGCTTGCCTTGACTGACGGCTTTACCAATGTACTGGAAGGCCCCTCCCAGGGAAAATACTCTGGGACTGGGGTCTGGGGCTCTTTTGCTGCCAGGATCCAGTTTCTACCTTACATAGACTCGAAGTCTACCTGCCAATCTGGACTCTAGAAAGGCAAGCTCCTGACCTTGGAAGACCCACACTCCAGAAAGAGAGCTGTCCTTGTCGGTACCGCAGAGGATGATACTGGAAGAGTCCAGTCGCTGAAACATTTCAGCCATGAGGCTGCAACTCATGAAGAGCTCTTCAGGGAAGCAGTGTTCAGAGCACCACAGGGACCAGCCATCTTCATCAAAGTACTCCCCCAGATACAGCAGTGCCACAGAGAAGCATCTTCCCTGGACCACTCACTTCCACCCACCCAACACAAGGGCACTCTTGGGCAGGTGAACTCCTCAGGAGCTGGGGTGGCCGGCTTCTTTTCCTCTTTGCACTCAGCCTGCGGCTCTTGCTCCTCTTTCTGTGGGGTATCCTTTTGTAGGCAGGCTATCTGCAGTCTCTTTAGCGTCACACCGGATCATCCTCTCACCTTTTCACCTCCCCTAGGATAGCACCACACCAGGGCTGGTTAATACAGGCGAGGAACCCGTGGTTCATTCTAGGGACGACCTGGCAAAGGACGGCTCCAGCCCTGCTTTAGAGCCACAGCAGGGTGTAAACAGCTGTGAAATCAACCAGTGTCACTTGTCACCTCTAGAAGAGTCCTCATCTTTATGTGAGCATCCTGTAGCCTCAGATTCCCCTCACCTCATCCTTTGCATTTTCAGTGGTCTGTCTGTTGTGGTGTGTGATGCCCAAAGGCTGGTAGAGTAATGTCACCATTAGCAAGGCTCAACCACGACATCACTCAGCTGTGGCCTCTGAAGTATTCCGAATCTCCTTGTTTCTTACATAAGGGACAGCATTGCTCCAAAAGGTGCAGACTTCATCGTCACTCTCAAATGCTAGACCCTTGCCAGCAGGAAAGGTTTTGTCAATGCCTTTGTGAAGGCATTCAAGGGTGCAGCTGATTTGGCCAAAGTGAAGTGGGTGTGCCAAGGGCACACTGACCTGAGCCAGGCCTAGTGCAATGAGGGTCTTGGAGGCCTCTAGTGTTCAGGACATGTACGCACAGCTGCAGCCACCACAGTGATTCTGTCCAGAAAAGGGACTATAGGTCCAGATAACAGCTTTGTGGAATCAGTTCCATCCTTCCACCTTTCAATGGACTCTGTGTATCCAACTCAGGTCTCCAATCTTTAGTGGTAAGTGCCTATAACTACTGAGGCATCTCACTGGCCCAGGCCATTGATTCTTCTGCCTCTACTTCCAGAGTGCTGAGGTTACAGGCGTGGGAGCCACATGCTGTTTATACAGTGCTAAAGACTGGATCCAGATTACAGGTGTGGGAGCTACATGCTGTCTATACAGTGATTACAACTGGATCCAGATTACAAGTGTGAGAACCACATGCTGTCTATACAGTGATTAAGACTGGATACAGATTACAGGTGTGAGAACCACATGCTGTCTATACAGTGATTACAACTGGATCCAGATTATAGGTGTGAGAAACACATGCTGTCTATATAGTGATTACAACTGGATCCAGATTACAGGTGTGAGAAACACATGCTGTCTATACAGTGATTACAACTGGATCCAAATTATAGGTGTGGGAGCCACATGCTCCCTATATAGCGATAAAGACTGGATCCAGACACTACCAAATGAGCAATATTCCCAGATAGTCCCATTTTTCTTTCTCTCCCTTTCTACCAACCCCCTCTGGATTTTTCAGCACTGGGGACAGATCCCAGGGTCTCACACAAGCTATATACATGGTCCCTCACTGAACGGCACTGCCAAGACTACTTTAATTTTTTTTTCTATAAAAAAGCACAAATAGCTGGGCAGTGGTGACACGCACCTTTAATCCCAGCACTCAGGAGACTGAGGCAGGCAGATCTCTTGAGTGCGAGGCTAGCCTGGTCTACAGAGTGAGTTCCAGGACAGCTAGGACTACACAGAGAAACCCTGTCTTGGAAAACAACAACAAAACAAAACAAAAAAGCACAGATATCAAAGATGAAAGGCACCATGGTAAAGCTGAGAAGGCGCAGTTGCTCAGAAGGAAGCAATGTGAACTGACTAGCAAATGCCCCGTCCCATTGTGAACTTTGTACAGTACCGTGCAACCGAGTCTGCCCACTGCCATCGTCCTTGTCTACCATCTCCATCGGCTTAGCACTATCAAGACGGGCCAGTGTCTCATTGGAAGATTTCCATTCCAGAATCAACGAGCTGAAATTATCAAACTTCCTCCCGTGTTCATCAAATACTGCCAGTTCCAGGACCGAGTCCCTCAAGCTGGACACAGGAATCTGCATGAAAAGAAAAGGTCATAAAGGACTTCTTATAAAGGTTTGGGGCCATCAGCTCAGCTCAATGGGTAAAGTCCCCTGCCATAAAATCCCGGAATGGATTCTATCCCTGACTCACATAAGATGGAAAGAGAGAATCAACTTCACAATCTTGTCCTCTGACTTCCACACACAAACCATGGCAAGCATGTGCACACACACACAGAGACACCATAGGAACACATACAATAATTTAGTTAAAAAAATTCAGTAGCCTTAGGGCTGGCAAGCTATCCTTGAAGACAAGAATTACATCTCCTCTGTTCTTTCTCCTTTGATTTTTTTTTCTTTTTTTTGGTTTTTCGAGACAGGGTTTCTCTGTGTAGCTTTGCACCTTTCTTGGAACTCACTCTGTAGACCAGGCTGGCCTCGAACTCACAGAGATCCGCCTGCCTCTGCCTCCCGAGTGCTGGGATTAAAAGTGTGTGCCACCACCGTTCGGCCTCCTTTGACGGTTTTTAAACTTCACCTCATCCAGCAGTTGTTAACATACGGTGGGGTGTGTGTTTTCTCTCTCTCTTCCCTTTCTTCTGCACCTCCAGGGGGCTGGGGGCAGGTATTTTGTTTGCTGCATTTTGTTTTATGAATGATGTAGCTATCATGGCACTTTACCCCACCCCGAATATTTCATTATGTATTTCCTAAGAAAGAGAACATCTGTGTAAACAAACAAAACAATAATACTATACTTCAGAAAAAATCTTTTCGTTTTATTTTTGACTATGTGTATGTGTGTGTCCATGTGTGTATCCATGCACATGTATGCAGGTACCCACTGAGATTAGAAGGAGTCATGGGATCTCCTGGAGCTGGAGTTACAGGTGGTTGTGAGCTGCCTGAAGTGGGTGTTGGGAACTGAATTCATGTCCTCTGAAAGAGCAGCAAGAACTCTTCTTAGTCACTTACCCATCTTTCCAACCCCGCTGTGCTTAAGAACGTTGACATCAGTTCTGGAGAGATGGCTCAGTGGTTTTTAAGGGGCTTGTGCCGCAAGCCTGAGGACCTGAGTTCGGATCCCCAGAGCCCGCATAAAGCCTGGTACAGTGTGCATCTGTAATTGTAGCACTCCTGCAGTGAGATGGGAGGTGAGGCCAGGGGACTCGCTGGAGGGAGAAGGGTAGCTAGCTTCGCATACGCGATGCTGAAGAAGAGAAGCCCCTGTTTCCAATGTGATGGAAGGCTGGGGCTGATACCTGTGGATGCTCTCTGACTGCCACTTATGTGTCACAGCCCAAGCACACACACACACACACACACACAGATGAAAGAAAAAAGAATATTAACAACTAACATTAATGTAGTATCATTAACTACAGAGTCATTATCTCAGTTTCCTCCATATATTTCACCAAATATCTTTTATATCTTTTTAGAGTTTTTGTTCATTTACTTTTTAAAAAGGATTTCATCTTTATTTATGTGTATTCATGTATACCTAAGTGCGTGTGTGAGCCATGTATGTGCAGGTGCCCAAGGAGGCCAGAAGAGGGTGTTGGATCCCCTGTAGCTCCTGACATGGTTGCTGGGAATTGAACTCAGGTCTTCTGGAAGAGCAGCAAGTGCTCTTAATTGCTGAGCCACCTTTCTAACCCTGAGTGGATTGAGAATAAGGACAATTAGTCCCTGGGCTGGCTAGTTTTATGTCAGCTTGACACAAACTGCTGTCATTTGGGAAGAGAGGCTCTCGAATGTGAGAAAATGCTTGCACTAAAACTTACAGGATGCAGCCGGGCGGCGGCAGCGGCGGCGGCGGCGGTGGCAGTGGCGACGCCTTTAATCCCAGCACTCAGGAGGCAGAGGCAGGAGGATCTCTGTGAGTTTGAGGCCAGCCTGGTCTACAGAGTGAGATCCAGGAAAGGCGCAAAGCTACACAGAGAAACCCTGTCTCGAAAAACCAAAAAACAAACAAACAAAACTCACAGGATTTAGTAGCAGGGTCATCCTCAGCTGCATAGAGAGTATGAAAAAAAAAAGAGATGGGTGGGCAGCTGTGGCAGGACACATCTGTAACCCCAGCACTTAGGAGGCTGAAGTGAGAGGACTACAAGTTCAAGGCCAGCCTGGTTCACCTAGAGAGAATCTTCGCCTGTGTCTAGTGCCTGGCTGCGTTGACATCAGGTCTTCACGGTACTTTTGCAGTAGAAGTGATTTCTCTGACTTATTTATAATGCCAACAAAGGTTTGCTAGGGGAGATGTCAGTCAAACAATTTAGACACTGTTGGGGGGGGGGTGTCACTTGTCTTCAGCTACAATTCCCGAGTAGACAGTCACGTTACTAAAGGCCCACAATTGGAACCTACTCACCTCTCAGCCATCTGAGAATGAGTAACAAATGCCACAATGCCTCTCGCTTTGATAGACAGAAGCTGTAGTTCAGGTCCCTTATCACGAGAACATTTGAGACAAAAGAGCCATGTGTATCAGGACAATCTGCACTTACCAGTTGCTTGTTGTACTGTGGCAGAGGACATGGCTGGGTGCCAGCTGCCACCTTGTACACTGGTGTCACCAACATACTGGCAGGGTGGGCACAGATGAAGCGCACCTGCACCGTTTCCACAGAGGGACTAGGGTTCAGGACACCGGGGTGATTCCCAATCCGTAAAGTGAGAACCTTTAAGGAAACATCAGAGTTATTTATGTGCATACCCTTGATGTCATTGTGCCCAACTAAATATGTCAGAATTATTCTAACTCCATTGTAGAGGAGCCCTTCTGGATATGATAATCTGACAAATCCCTTAAAGTCATGTGCCTTTCTCACTACACATTAAATAATCTAATATTTTAAAATGTTAGAAAGCGGGCTGGAGAGATGGCTCAGAGGTTAAGAGCACTGACTGCTCTTCCAGAGGTCCTGAGTTCAATTCCCAGCAACCACATGGTGGCTCACAACCA